CCAAGGCCCATCTTGTTTTGAAGGTTGTATCTCGTACCGGGTTGGCCACTTGGCCGCGGAATCTGCTTGCTAGGTTTGTCGTTGCCTTCGTTGAGCTGTTGCAGCTGACGACGCTCATGCTCGAGCTTCTGCCGTTCGCGAACGAGGGCGGCGCGTTCTTCGGCGAGCGAGTCTTATATATATATATATAAGTTAGCGAAGTCAAGCGGTGGCTGAGAACTCACCTTCGTTGTGCTTTCTCGGGGCGGTATTGGTCTCGGGCATTGTATCTGAAGACAGTGAGTCTGTATTCTGAGCAATAGCATTACTCACCTTCTCCTGCCGCTCCAACGCGCCGAGCCCCATCGCGCAATGCTTCCAGTTCTTTTCGCAACGCGGCTGCGTCTTCTTGAGCCTTACGAAGCTCATCTGCAGCAGTGAGAGCTTGAAACGACGGCTAGAATGTGGAACGCACCTCGTTGAGCATTGTTTTGGCGCTGTAGAGAAACAATTTCGCCTAGATTGGTGTTGCTGCGCGGGTCGAAGCGGCTCTCGAGCTCGTCGAGGCTAAAGCTGGAGGAAGCCATGGCGGCTACGGAGGCGGATGCTTGGTAGTTCAAGGATGCAGAGTCGCCACTGCCATCGCCCCGCATCGTGCCGGCGCCGCCGCACTCTTTCTTGACGTAGGGCTCTTCCTTGACGGAGGACTTCTTCTTTTTCTTTGGCGGCTTCTCCTTCGAGTCAGAGCTCGGTTTGCTGCGCTTCTCCTTATGCTTGAGAGCGTCAGGGAGGTTGTTCTTGACGCCTCGCGTCTCCATGCGAGAGCGGGAGACGGTGGACGGTAGTGAGTGACCGCAAGAAGCAAGAAGGACTTCACGAAAATTTTCGTCAGCTGATTGCGCTGCCCTTGCTACAATCACAGATACCAATGTCTCGATGGTGAACACAGCACTACGCAATGCAACCATTGATGAATGGGGTAAGATTCGGCATATCGACTCTGAGGACAGTGATACCATGCGCTCATCTTCTCTTGGAACTGCCACCGAGGATGTGCGAGATGCTACTTTTGTTCGGGTATCCATTTCTTCTATATCATTGCTATAACTAATCTGTAATACAGTATGAAATGCTTGTTGACAAGTATTCTCGGCAGAAGAACCGACAGTCCGAGTTCATTCAAGAGACATTTTTTGGTCAGCTGACTCATATCTATCATGTCTCCTTTTCCCAGGCGGTCCCCCGCACTTAACCTCGACAAGCCTACGACTTTTGTCCTTACAGCCATTCGGTCTTGCACTATTGTCTCGGAACCAAGACTTGATGATCTAGGGATCCACCGATATACGGGCTTTGGGGCATTGGAGTTTGCAGATTTATCCTGTCTTCAGGCACTGGTTGGCAGGGTAGCTGATGATCGTGGGCGTTGGTGGATCATTGATCGAACACACAGCTTGCCACGTGCTCTTTGGACTGAAGAATAATATAATATTTTATTTTATGCATTTTTAATTTTTAATTTGTCAATTAAACCGTTTCAACCTATCTAGGTTGAAATATAACCTAGATAGGTTAATTGACAATAGGTGGGGCTTTAAAACAACCTATAGGATAGGTTGAAAAAATTCTTATCTAATCTTCACAGGAATAGGAAGTATACAAACCACCTAAAAATAACCTAACTTAGGTCAAAACAGGGAAAATGTCCTAAAATCAGTGGAATTCCAACCTAAATTGGCCCCATAGTGTGGCTCTCCAATATTGCTCCGGGGAGGGGGGAATGTCGAAACAGTCAGAGAAGTTAATCAATCATCGAGTAATACGATCAAACGTCAAACAACCCTTGGTAACGACTCCCATCTTCAGCTCTTGAAAACTGACGCCGTTGGCGGTGTGGATGGCCAACGCAGACAGGCGTCAATGGGCCTAGGCTTGCAACGTTCACAGTCGCCTGACTACTACTTATCCGCCACACAAGGGTACTGCGCAAAAAAAATCCTAGACATTGGGTCGAAAAAGTGAATTAAGCACCAGCCAGCCCTCCCTACCCTATTGACATAAGCATGACTAAGCCATGTGACTTCCCAAAAAGGAAATTGTTTGTCATCGGTGTCTGTACAGGATACAGCATTGGGCCCATTGGATTCTATGCCAGGGCCATTTAAGACATAACATATGGGAAGGAAAGAAGAAAATGTAAATAACATGCTTCAATGTCATTGTTTAGGACTCTACTTATCACCAAACTCTCCCGATTAGGAAATAGGCCCATCAAACATTCCATATTCTTTGGCAACAAGTGCTAAAAACATATATAACTGTGTATTTCTGGTTCTCCTGGATGTCCCTGAACCTTCTCCAAAAAGTGAAATTGCACCCCACTGACCCACCCTACCCTATGTGACATGTTTGACTTGATGTCACCAGCTGATGATCTGCGGTACCCTTGCCCCCACACCGCTCTCTCATGGATGGACTTTCGCGGCACACTGACTGTGTCCTCAAACTGGAAAACAGGCAATATCGCACTGTCCCACCCTGTGCACCTTCAGACATATGGGAGTCGATTGAAACTTGGTACAAACAAGAAGCATTTACACAAGAACGGAAACACCAATATACATATCCTACAATTGCGCAACCTTTGCGCCTTTCTCGGCAATCACTTCAACAGTTGGATGGGCACTCTTTGCGGCTACACTGGCAACGGCTGCCTTCGGCTGGTTGCGCGTAAAGACATCGTTGCCCAGCATGGTCGCCGCCCAGATCTTCTCGGGGGCAGAACTCACGCCCAACAACCACTGCGTCGTGATGACATCCTCCTCCGGTGTCGCCCCCAAGAACAGCTGTCCCGCCCACGCGGTCGCCGCATGCGTGTCCCCATGTCTCTTATTCGTCCATCCGACGGTCCACCCGAGCGACGCGCCTTCGCCCGGTGGAGGGAACCGGTCGAACGCGCCGAGCAGCGGGTACTCGCCAAACGCGTCGCCGACCTTCGAGTAGTATGTCCCGCCGAAAAACGTCGGCTTGACACGGAGGACCATGTGCGACCCCAGCTCGTTGTACCACGTGCCCTTGAGCCGGTCGTCCGTCACGACGTCTGCGGCGGCGCGCTCCCGGGCCGGCCGCACGGCGGTATTGACCGTCGACCGGTGGTACTCCACGCTGCCCACGTTGGGGCTCTCCCACGCATCGCCCGGCAGCGTGCTCCCCGCGATGACCCACTGTGCGACGATGCGGTCTGTGCCGCCGGGCCGGATCGCCGGGAAGAACTGCGCGCTCCAGGACGTCGTCGCGTGCAGCAGGCCCTTCTCCGCGCGGCCCACGGCCGTCCACGCCGCGGCGTACCCGGCGTCCGGCCCGCATAAACTAGCTGAGCATAACTTAAGTTTTCCATGGCCTAGTCAAACTATTTCTTAAGCCTAGCTCAATCTTAAGATATTGGAAATATTACTAGGACCTCTCACTGGTTAATTAGTAGATCTATATGTATGATTATATAACATGATCTTAAAATCTAATACTTAAGTATAGCCTTTAGTACACAGCTTAAGCTTTTGGAACTTAAGTTTTCAATCAAATAGCCCACTATAAATCTCAAGGTTTGTAACTTAAAAGACTCTTAAGACCTGAGCCTTAAGTATATAAACTTGATGCCCCAAAAGATCACCAAATCTTCAACTTAAGTTTTCTTCTGTAAATATAAACCTTCAGCATGATTATCACTTATTGAGTTTAGCTTCAGTTGGCCTTAAATTGTATCATCAGATAATTTCCATGAATATCAGGGTTAGCTTCATTTGGCTCCATATCTTTACCTTAAAGGTACTATTGTAGGATTTCAATTTGACTCAACTCAAATAAGGACCATTTTACATGTGCCATTATATACAAAAATTTGTAAATCATAGTTGGCTCTATCAAATTAGCTTCAGCTATGCTCCTAGACTGCCAACTTAGCTTCAATTCACTATATAGGTTTACTATAATCCACTAGATGTTCAAGCTCATGTATGGAGTGTCATGGGGCTTGTGTTTAGCTTCCATTACATCCTATATAACATATTTCAATATGTTGACTTCAAGTTTATTTAGCTTCATTTAGCTTCATTTAGCTTTAGTTAGCTTCATTTAGCTTCAGTTCCCTAGTTTAGCTTCAGTTCCCTAGTTAGATGATTGATTTCCAGCACTCTGTATTGCAATAAATCTTAAGGTTTGTTTGTACATAAGACTTGTAACTTAATTCTACAAGGCTAATATCTTAAGATCTTACCCTTCAGCTTCAATAAATTAAGACATGAACTTAAGTTGTGTTTTATAAAGAAATTACATAATCTTTCATACTCGTGACCCATACCAGGTATTTTATTTCAACTTAAGGTATAAGTAAACTTAAGATAAAGGGTGACTAGGCCAAAAGTATCTTAAGATTACCTAAGCTAATACCTGCGGCCCGGCGTCCGGCTGCGGCGCGGGGTCGACGATGCCGCTCACGTCGAACGAGATGAGGGCGGAGGTGCCGGGGACGGTGCCGGTCAGGTTGCCCTCGATCGCGGTGCCGATGACCGCCAGGGTGAGCGTGTAGCTCACGGCGCCGAATGTGGACGCCGACACGGCGGTCCATGTGCCGGCCAGTCGTGTGTGGTTGGAGTCTGCCTTGGCCTGTTGTGCGTCGCTCATCTTTGTGGCGGGTTGTAAAGACGGGGGGTGGTTTATAAGACCCCTGCGATGATCTTTTTTTGTCGCGACTTGCGACCGGGGAGTCGGGACAGAAAGTGAGGGCAAGGCTGTGTCTATGACAGCGCGACGGCGGGTGGAATGTTGCGAGAATGACGAACGTGAGCATCACGGCGAAGTGTTCAACAGCGTGAGCATCCTTGAATCCTATTCTCTCAACATTCACCATGCCAAAGTGCTGTCATCAACACCGCCTTACCCTCGTCTCTTCCTCCGGTCACGATAAAAAAAGCCACTGCATGCTCCTTATAACCCCAGGAACACCTTGACCATGCAACTTGCGAATGGCAGAACAGCTTCAGCGTGGCCACAACACCCTCCCCGGCATCTGGACCGCCGTCGCGCCGTCCAGCATGGGCGGCGTGGACTACAAGCTCCACGTGAACCTCATCAACGACCTCATCGTCGGGTACATGGTCGGCGCCGCCCCGAACACGTCCCACACCATCTCGCTGCCGCTCAAGGGCGCCATCGACCCCAAGCCGCGGCCGGACGCCGGCCCGCACGGCGGGTACGCCCTCGGCTGGACGGTCGCGGGCCGCGCGGAGCCGGCGCTCGTGTTCTCGACGACCGCGTTCAACGCGCAGTACTTCCCCGGCGGCGGCCGCGGCGAGGACGACCGCATCGTTGGGCAGTGGGTCGTCGCCGCAAGTACCGCCCCGGCCAACGCGTGGGAGAGCCCGAACGTGGGCAGCGTGGTCTTCCAGCGGGCGCGGCCCGGCGTTGCCGAATTGGAGACAGAGACAGAGCCGCTGCCCGTCGGACCGCCGGCGGGCGCGAGTCCCGGGCTCGAAGACACGCGGCTGGAGGGCACGTGGTACAACGAGCTCGGGTCGCACATGACGCTCAGTCTGGGGCCAAACGACACGCTCGGCGGGGTGTATAACTCGAAGGTGGGCGATGTGTTTGCGGAGTACCCGCTGTGGGGCGGGTTCTACCGCTACTCGCCTGCGGGCGCGGGGGTGGCGCTGGGGTGGGCGGTCGCGTGGGAGAACGCGGAACACGGCGACACGCATTCGGCAAGCACGTGGGCGGGGCAGGCGTTCTTCGGCGCAAGGCCGGAGGACGATTTGATCACGACGCGGTGGCTCCTGGGGGTGAGCACGGCGCCGGAGAAGATCTGGGCGGCGACCATGCTCGGCGGAGACGTGTTTACCCGGCGGGCCCCGACAGCGGCGGTCGCCGCGGCGGCTAGCGCCGGAGCCGCAGGCTCGCATCCCTCAATTGAGCAAATTATCAAGAAGGGCAAGGCGGTTGCGCAGTTGTAGATTCTGTATACTGTAGTAATTAGACCACAAGTTCATTAATTTTGAATTTTCTAATATCAGTCTATAAGTGATGTTATTGCAACACTGGCAGTTATAGAAGAAAATTTGACTGCTATGAATAGTAAAATTTGACTGCTATGAATAGTAAGTATGATAGCATTTCTCAGGATCAATAGCATTTCTCATGATCAATGGATGTGACAATAAATGAAGAGCATAATGTATAATCATCCCCACTACCTTTGAAAAGTATTTCCAATTCTTTGTGACAAATCAGCAGGAAATTTAAGTATCTCTATAAGACTATAACATCATTTATACACTGATATTTACGCTGCATTTCTCGGTGAATTTGGCTCCAATGAAGCAGAACAATACATAATTCTTCCTGCTATCAGCATACAATGCTTCTAACTTAAAAGAGAAAAAAATACCCCCAGGAGAGAAACATGTATCCCAGAACTTACCTGTCGCAATCCGAGAACTTTTGTCATTTTATGTGACAATGTCTCGGAAGGCTGAGTCCCGAGAACTTGAACCCTCCGACAACTCGGCATTCCGAGACATGGGAGTGACTCTGGACAACTTGTCGCTTCCGACAACTCAGCAATGTCGAAGACCGGCGAGGCTGTGCAGAATAACCGGCTCAACGGCGGCCGGCCGGTGGTACAACGAGCTCGGCTCGTACATGGAGCTGCATGTGGCGCTGGAGGATGTGCTGGAGGGAAAGTACAACTGGAAGGTAGGCGATGCGTATGCGGAGTACGACCTCCGGGGCGGGTTCGACCGGTACCCACCCAAGCATGGGGACACGCACTCGGCGAGCACGTGGGCCGGCCAGTTGTTCTTGGGTGATAAGCCGGATGAAGATGTTATCACGACGCAGTGGCTGTTGGGAGTTAGCACGGCCCTGGAGAAGATCTGGGCGGCGACAATGCTTGGTGGGGATGTCTTCACGCGGGCCCCCGCCCGGGCCGACGACCAGCTTGAAGGCTGTGGCCGCGAAGGGCGCACATCCCAGTGTCGCACAGATTATCAAAAAGGGCGAGAAGGTTGCTCAGTTTGCAGAGGTGTAGTATATTCAATTGATCATGACCCATGCCCAATTTTTCTCTGGAGACAGGGTCAGTATACGGTACTAGCTATCAATAAACACAAACTTGAATTGGGTGTAAACACGGGAAGCACTGGACGCGTCCGCTGTCCCGCCGGAGGAAACTCCCGAGATGCCTTGCCGGATTCCTGTGTAGGGAAGAGTAAGTATTTAATGTGCAGGCAACTGCTCATTCCACTGTAAAACACCCACCCAGTTGTACCAGCACAGTGTCAGAACATCGATGAAGCTCACCGCTCTGGCCCTCATTGCAGCCACCACGCTCATCTATGCGCTGACCGCAACCGCGCTCTACCCCCCGCCGTTCCCGCCACAGCACCGCCCCCCCACGCAGGCTCAGCGCAGTCGGTTTAGCGCGTGCACCTGGCGCGCACCCGAGTAAGTGCATATAATTGTGGTGCCGGGGAATATGAGAGCTTACGTATTGCCCAGCCGACTCAGATGGACACAATGAGCCTATCCTGCCGCGCGCAGCAGCTTCAAGTTGAGAATCCGGGACGATGAGAAGCATAGATAGAATAGCCCTGTTCAGGTGGAACGTCGAGGTCGTCTAGTAAGCAAAATAAATATATTATTTCCCTTGTTCTTTCTGTTTTCACAAAAAGTTTATCTTTTGCTGAGTTGAAAAGGTGTAGCAAAAGCAGCACTTTCCTTTTGAGTTTCTTGCAGGAAGAAAGAACATCTTTGTGCAACAACAAAAGACAGAAAGAAAGAACATCTTTCTGTGCACCTTTCTGCGTCATTGAAATGAGTTCTTTGTGTGGCCCAAAAAGGAAGTTTGAAAGAGGGAATTTCCAGGGAGCTTTCCATTCGCTCAAAAAGGTCACCTTTTTTTAGTAGACAGAAAGACATGCAGAAAGGCCATATTTTAGATGACCTTTCATGAGCAGAGAAATATGACTTTTTTTTGCAGCTGAAAGGGATGCAAAAAGTAACTATTTTTGTTTCTGTTTCCATTCAAATGAAATATATTCTTTCTTTTACAAGAAAATATGGATTTAAATAGGTAATTTCAATTCACCTTTCTGTTGGAAAAGAAATTTTTGAATTTGCCGTGTGACACTGTCCTACTCACTAACTCAGATCGATCACCAAGTGTCAAGTATGTGATGGGGCACTTCGGCCGAGTTATTCGGCACTTGGAAGACATGGCGGCCATTGCGCTCAAGGTTCATATACATATCTTTGAACCCTGTATCCTTTTTTGTTGCCTCTGGGTATTCAGAGCTCTGGTGTTTTGTGATGCAGCTTATGCCGCTGTTACCTACTATTTCTAAAGAATCTTCACAAAATCTTGCCTTTAGTTGTGGTAAGATGCAACGGTAAAGTTGGCAGATGTGTGACATTGATACGGTAATGTGACATTGACATGGTACTCCTAACATCACTCCTATGGTAAGTCAACGGTAATGGTAAAGCTGGCCACGGTAAGTCCATGGTAGTCATATGGCAACTCAACGGCACATAACGGTAATTTGGATGCATCCAACGGTAATCTTTGGTAACTTGATTCCGGCCCACGGTAGCTTGCCAGTTGACATTTGACATTGGTGCCGATACGACTTGACTCCAGCGACAATGACAGACTATTGCGCATCCATTGCGATTACTGTACTCACCACAGCCCTGGTTGTTTCACACGAGCAAAGGATCTCCTACTGGATTCTACTTCTGTGCAACTATCTCGGGCTTCGTTTCCTCATCATGTGAAATTGCTAGTTCTGTACGGCCTTATTCTCGAAAACAGGAGACTGGCAGCAATTTTGCCTGAACGAATCAACTCGGTCGGCGCGCCTCTCTGCGATGCAAATGGCAAGCTTTATTCATTGAACTTCAATTACACCCCGCTGATTGTCTTCAAATGTAGGTAAAGTTATTGGTTGGGTCTCTGTCAGACTGCGGGGCGGGCCGTGCAAGGACTTCTCCTAAGAACGCGCGCCCGGAACAGAACAGACGGATAGTCGGGCCCGCAAGTACGGCGGGCGGTGTAGATCGAAACCGAAAGGGCCCGTGAACTCGGTCCCTTGTCGTAGTCGGTGGTCGATGGTTCGAATCGGGTCGTGTCGGGCCCGATGAGTCGATAGCGTCTCCTCGCACGGAGTAAGGTAGTTCTTCAGACGATCTAAGCGATAGAGTACAGGGTACACTATCGCTCCTTATATACGCGGGCCCGCAAAGGGGGTGATCGGACACCCTGGCCTCTCCTCCTCCTCCTCGCTCCCGTTCCTGGCCGCAGAGGGGACGATCGCACATCCCTTGCGGGCCAGGCGCTACTCCTGACCTCCTAGCACTCCTCCCCAGTCCCCTGGTGTCGAGTTGGGCTCGGCGACGGCTCGACGCGTCGTTCTCGGTCACGTGCTTCCCACGTGTGCGTTCCTCCTACTGGGGCGCATGTTCCCCGTCGTCACGTGCTGCGTGTTACGGGCCCGCAATGGCCCGACACCAGCGCCGGAGCGGACGGGCCGGGTCTTATCCGTGACAGTCTCGACAGAAACACAGCAAACGGACTCGCTGGCAATACCCCGGCTGGCACATCTGCAGCCCCATGTGATGACATCACGCTCCGCACCAGAAATCAGCTTTGCCGAGTGGAATGGATGGCTGAATGGGGCCTTTCGCGCATGGTTCTCACCGGCAGATATCAAGGAAACCAACAATCTCTCTATATACTGGGTGCACGAGATTGTAGCTGGTAAGCGTGGCTCCGAACGTGCTGCTGTTCCTGAACGTGGTCGTGAATCAATTCGCCGATGCATAGGAGCTCTCGTCTGTGATGCTGGGAGTTGCAGCCATCAAATATGTGGAGCTCCAGAGCGTGCCTTGTGCCAACGGTTGCATCAGCTTGACATCGCATGTCCTGATGGGCATTCATTGATGCACCGAATTCTCGGTCACTAGCTTCAAGGGTGGGGCATTTGCTACCAATAGTGGCGAACATAATCATGCAAGATACTCACATTCCATTGTGCGAGGCATTTGGGTCAAAAATTTAGAGTTGCCAGTCCGGAAATTGGCATCAAGCATCTCTCACGCAAGTGCCACGTTGGTATCACCAGCTTCGGCAATGGCACACGCCACAGCCACGATACCTGGCAGAGCCAAAACACCCGAAAGGCCGGAAGACGATGCTGACGAGAGATCAGGCATTCTCACAACACCAGATGGCTTGATGGCTGAAGAGTTAGCAGAGATGAAAGATGATCCTGACGCAGCAGAAGGAACAGCGTGAAGAGTAGTATAGAATTGTAGAGTTGAATGAATAGCTGCAGTGCACGATCACACAGTCACGCGCGTGACAGGTCTGCCACGTCATATCTCTCGCGCTCATCTGCAGCCTTCCCGACTGTGTCCCCAGGGGTGAGCTGGCTTTCGGCCACCCACTGGTGCTCTGTTTGCGGCCAGTCTTCGCCAACAATACTCTTGACTAAGATGCCATGACTCAATATATGTCCTGGCAACCGCGTGAAAGGTTCAAGAATATCGAGTTCAACAACCAGAGCGTGGGTTTTTTAGCCCACCCCGTCACTTTCTAACACTGAGCACAAGGTGAAAATCATGCACCTGCTCCTGTCCGTGCCGTTCCTGCCACCGAGAACCGCATGCTGGGCAACGCCATCGCTCGAAGTCCCGCTGAAGCAACAAGATACCACTCCCCAGTTCAACCCTCAGCTGCCCCTGGCTCCACATTGTCGCCTCGACCTGCCGATTCCTGGGTGTACGATGACTCGGAACCATGGAATCCACTTCCGAACGGCCAATTCACTCGGTTATACTCGCATCAGTATTACCAGGCAAACAAAGGCCTGCGTATCCACTGGCCATGCGAAGGACTAGGTCCAAGTTGTTGGAATTACAATCCGGCGGCATGCACAGCCACACGGGCCATTCTCGGATGCGGTGTTTGTTCTTGATTGGACATTCCCTTTCTACTTGATCTCACATTGTGCTTGATTTACATATCTCTTTCAACAGCCTCTTGTGGATACTGTTGTACTTTATGTGTACTTAAGTAGCTAGTCTTACAAATTATACTTTGTCTTCTCCTCTCCCATTTCCTCCCTGTTCAACACAAGTCTGGGGTCTCAATCGTCAACATCCCCGAGGGGTGGGAAATGTACGCGACGCGCCTGTCTTGGCATTCTGAAATGTACTACATGCTCTCGCCTCACACGACCATTGACTCGCAAGTCTGCGTGAATGAATCAACTGACCAATCCTTGTAAATGCGGCAATGGTACACTTTATCAAGTGGAGTGTGGCGTTCAGGCCCATGTTTATGTCTTCTCCAATGGTGTTCTCTTCGAGAATCTTGGCATGCACAACTACGAGATCCCCTCCGTTCTCCACTTTCTCACTCATCCCGAGGAGAATGAACTGCGGACACTCGTGGCTGAAAGTCCAGCTGCGGGCCCGGCTAAACTGTTGGCTGGTCTGCCAACAATCAACGGTACCTTTCGCTCTGTGCCGGGCATTAGTCCTGCCCTCATCAATCAGGACAAGATTGCTTACCAGCGCCAGAGGCTGACGAAGGGCTCGCACGTTTTCAACGATCATCATTTCCAGGATAAACTTGCCGATCTTCAACGAAAATACCCCGACTTCGTTCTTCGCACCCATATCAACAGTGGTCTCACCGTTATCACAGTACAGTCAGTGTTTATGCAGTGCCTGTTATTGAAAGACTGTATTGAGACGGAGGCGGACAATGGGATCGTCACCGATGCATCCCACGGCTTCTTTCGTGACTCAAACGATTACCTGCTGACAAGTTCCGTCTATGATCTAACGTTGAAAGCATGGGTACCGGCTCTGCTTGCGTATATCAACGGGCAGTCGAGCGACCACTATGGGTACTACTTCTATGACCTATTGGAGAGTGTTGCCCGTGAATGGGATACAACAGGTTGCAAATTGACTGACACGATGCTGGCAAATGTGCGTGGTTTATTCTGTCCTCCCACTCCAAGTTACACAAGTCTCACAGGTCCTTGACTTCAACGATGCCCAGCAAGTGGGCTATGTGCATGTGTATCGTGTCCTCCAGATGCTGGCAAATGTTCGTGGTTTATTCTGTCCTCCCACTCCAAGTTACACAAGTCTCACAGGTCCTTGACTTCAACGAGGCCCAGCAAGTGGGCTATGTGCATGTGTATCGTGTCCTCCACAGCATCCGAGAACCTCAAGGACAAAGTGAGGCGGAGCTAATTACGGCTGCGCGAAGCTTGTTATGCGGCTGTGAGCAACACTTCCGCGCACAGATAACCTGTGTGAAGAAAATTCATGGTGTCGTCAACCCCGCCCATACCTATCTCTTCGATAACTATGCTCTCTAATTTCTGCAAATAAAGGACCCTGACGAATTCCTCCGTCATGGACACGAATTTATCAACACTTTCCCACAAGCAAAGGGGTGGATTGAGTGGTGGATGCGCCCCAACCATGCGGCAATGCTCTTTCCTAGTGCCCGACTAATGCCAGACGAGGACTGGAAGTCTCTTGGGGATATCCACGAGTATCTGACCAACCTACTGAGTCCCACAAACGCTGCAGCTGAGCTTCAAGGATGTTGGCGCGTTCGGGATGATGGCAGCAAACTATGCACTGGATTGGGTCAATCTTACAACATCGTCAACAACATCCCCGTTGTTCTGGTGCTTGAGTTTGACAGTGGCGCTCACCTGAACTGGCACTGCCGATGCGCACTTCGTCGGTTGTGGGCCTGTTCCACATATTGACCTGTAGTATGGTATATTCAGAGGGCAATGACCGATTAGATCTCATGGACCTTGAACTTGACTCACCGCTCGTCCAGTGCCATCGCATGGCGGAAGGTTTTCACAATGGTGTTAGACGTCGTGAACGGTAGTGTGTGGGGAATGAGTCCGACAGAGGCGACTGTATCCCAGACTCCAAGGAACCTGATACTAACATCGCTTGAAAATGTCTTCAAAACTTTGGATGAGCAAGGCATTCCCTGGCGCTGTGACTGGCAAGAACTCACTCTTATGAAGGCGTTTGACTGCTTTCACCCAACCCGATCTCTGCGCTTGTACATTTTATAGGCGAATGGTACCTGCTCATAGTTCGACACCGGCAGAAGGGCGACCTTGTAGAGCATTCCCGCAAGACTGTCGAGTGCAATCAATGTGTGAGCATGCCTCATCTAACCGACAAAACTCACCTTCGTGCGATATAAGCCCCACGGGAGAAGCCAAAGATGCAGATGGTGCTGTCGAAACAGAGGACAAGTGTGCGGTGGGAGTGGGTCGGGGGAATAACGGCGTCAAGGTGTCCAGCAACGAACAGTCCACTGGTAGGCTCGTCAGGTTTGTGTAGGTCGCTGGGGTCCAGGAAGGGATTTTGCGTGGCGCTCTGGATGGGGAGCGTTGGATCGAGAGGCGACTGGGAGTAGATAGTGCACCTATAGTGCACCCTAATACCCTCTAGTTAGAGGGATAGAGGGGGGTACTCTCTATCCCTCTAACTAGAGGGGGTTAAGCCAGTAGCGGGCACCCCTGCTAAATATGGCTACTAAGAGGGGTCTTGGTAGCGGGGAAAGAGGCCCGGAGGCTGCCATCACCCTCCTGGCTGCCTCCCCGCCCCCGCCCACGGTGCGAGTGTATACACTCTACTGTCAGGAGAACCACTGCTTCGGCCTCCTTTTGACCATCCGAGCGCATCCGAGGCACATCCGGCCGGCGCCCCCTCGGACGCTCCGACCCACCCTGACCATCGTCCACAGCCTCCCTTCGCCCGCACAATCACCGATCCGTCGAGACCCTCCCAACGATCACCTTGGGACAGAGCCTGCGACACTGCTTAGGCCTTCTGCGCTCTATGTCGGCAGTTACGGACGGCCAGTATATAGTTGGCGCCCTAGCAGGCGGACCCTTAGAGTTTCTTCTCTTTGGATCCTCCCCTGCTAGGTCAGTCCCTCCGTGTATTTCCGTAGCTTTTATTCACACTTTGGATCCTCCCCTGCTAGGCTTTCGTCGGAGTCTCCAGGGTTGCCCTTACAGATAGCTCGGCTTCCCAGCTCTCGAATGACACCCATAACTTGTGTCTTGTGCGTATAGCCTCAGCGGTGGTTGTCCCAACTCTTCTGGCGCAAATCTAGTGTTCAGATGATCAGTTCCTCAACAGTGTTTTAGAGTCGCCATTGATCACAGGTCCAGGCCCCAGTCAATTGAGTAGGTTTTTGCCCTTGGCACTCTCAATCCTTCAGCATGATCCGAAACCACGTTCCAATAATGTCAGTCGTCGATACCAGCAGAGATAAGGGTGTCCCTTATCTAGGAGAAGTCGACTTAGAGCCTCCACTGTGAAAGGGTGTGATAAGAGCGAGAGGAACATGACTGCGTAGTGAATATTATGAGCGGTAGAGCGTGATGTTTTAACAACTTACGCTCTACCACAGGTGTGTAACAGCAGTAGACTAGAATAACGAACAACTTACGCTCTACTGCAGTCCCACCAACTGTGTGTGTTTCACACCACTGTGCGCCAAACCAAATATGCCTTTTAATGTACACTCCCTTTGGGTATTTTGTATAGGATTGGATAGATCCTAACAAAAAACGGGCTCTGCAAACTTTTCTTATTCAAGATTTCAGAATCACTTAGAGCAATCTGATAGATTTTGACTGGTTTTTTAGCAGATAACTCCCTAGCTGACCATTCGGGACTCATGTCAACTCTGAGACGTGCGCTGAGCAACAAAATTGACAAAAATAGTCGTTTCCTGGTCTGTCCCAGACTGCGGCTTATCAGTGGCTTGCAATGTAACATATTTCAGGTAGTCTCAGATGAAAACAAAACTAATTTTATTCAAAACTAACTCAAATCAGGTGGCAAATCAGAGTTACCAATTAAGACCTAAGAATTAAAAACTTCTTAGTTATAGTTATAGACTAGCATTAAACACGTTTAAAATAGCTCTTGTATTGTAAGACCAAGTCAGTAATCTGGTTGATTAATCCAGCATTGTTTAACATACCATCACCATTGAACATCAGAATTGGTTGGGTGAGTGTGCGGGCCAGAATGCTATTCCGAGCAACATAGTTAGTGTTAATAAAGTTGGAGGTAGCATCACAATCGACCAAACTAGAGAGCAAGAGCTTTAGCATACTAGGGGTAGGCTTGTACCTCATTTGAACCCAAATATTTATTTAAAAAATTGTGTCACATTATTGTTACCCTAATTTGTTGAATGGTAATTTCTCATATATCAGGTACACTTTGGTGCTGACTTTTTATATATATGGTCTTATATCTTGTAGCATATTTAGTGCATTTATTTGCTACCAATTTTAGCCACACAATTGTCAGCTGATATTGGCTTTGAGCTAAGTCCAGTCTGATACCTTAATATATACCCTAATTTCTTACAAATCAAGTCTACTTTCTAGACTTTCATTTGTTATCTTTCCAAGTTGTTCAAATATACCTCTTTTTTGTCCACTATTTATCATAAATACCGACTTCAGGCCATTTTTGGGCAGAAACCCCAGTGTGAGATTAGCATCTCTCCTGCTGGCCTATGTATTATTATGATTAGTCTGTTATGATTATATAACACACTCAGCTATGTATAACATGCTATGTTATAATTCTATTATCATTTCTAATAATAAGTATATTATAATATACCATATAAGCCCCTGTGTCAACAAACCTTCAACCTTGATATTTATACACAGGTTGGTGGCAACATCATCTAGTGTCTCAGAATGAAATATATTTAGATCATGTCTAATTTACCAACGGACTTCCAGTCACATAAACTCTAAAGGTCATAAGTAACTCAATACTTAACTGACTCATGCATTGGGCTGTGGTGAGCGCAAGGTGAGCATGGATGCATCCGGCTTAGACTCGCAGCAGCGGTCAGCACCGACTCACCAGCGTAGCGCAGTCCAGCGACCTGCGGCGCAGTGTCTCGGCATGACGGCCCGGCGTAACATCGCGCCACGTGTCCCAAAGCGGATATCATCAGCTTGGCGGCTGACACACGATTTTTGTGACAGCGTCGGCGACATCTCCCTCCCTTGCCTTCGGCCCTATCCTTATATCGGCGCAGCGTCGTCCATCGCCCCGCATTCGCTCGCGCCCTCATATAGCACCGCCTCCCACGCCGGCCCAGCTACAGGCGTATATCCGACATCCACACGCGATCGGCTTCATTCTCTTTCCCTCACCACCAGCACTCGCCCGCAGCACAATTTGAGGACCGCAGCGGTCATGGCGAAAGCGAAGAGTCCAACGCCACAGGAGGTATACCGCGCTCGCAAACAGCGGTGAGCCCCTTGTTCCTGGCCCCGCGGTCGTGCCTGACGTGTTGCCCAGCGAGGAGCAAGAGAAGCTGGCGCTGCTTCCGCCGGGGCTTGTTAACCATGGCAATACCTGCTTCATGAACTCCGTTTTGCAGGGGGTGCGCTGTCACTGCTGTTATACACTTACCCAGTCGCTTACCCTGGTTTCTAGCTGCTCGCAACACAGCTGCTATCGCTGCTAGTGCACCGCTCACCCATCCCACCATCGATCCAAGCACATGCATCGACTCTACTGGACCCCCGCCGCTCGCCGCAGCTGATGAATGGGGAGCGGAACTGGGGAGTGCCGATGCCGGTGGGTGAGGCGTTTCTGGGGGTGATGACGCGTGCATGGGAGGCAGAGTATGCGGGGAGACGGGAAAGCATGAGCCCCAAGTGCGTCTTCTATGCCCTCTGATGGCGTTCATTATTTGCTCATATCAGCCAGACCGATCCTTGCCGCGCTGGGCAAGAAATACGACCAATACCTCGACTTTGCGCAGCAGGATGCCCACGAGTTTCTCCGCATACTCCTCGACGCAATGGGCATGGAGGAGCTCGATGCTATAAAAAAGACGGCTCCGCCCCAGCCACAGTCCATCTCCAAGCGCCGCCGCCGAGTATCTGTCCCCAAGCCCGCCGACGATGCCCCCATGTCGCTCGCAGACATGATCTTCGGGGGGAAGCTGGCAAGCATCCTCGTGTGCCAGAAGTGCAAGCACGTATCACACACGTACGAGGCGTTCAACGACCTTAGCCTGAGCATCAAGTCGGAGGACTACCAGGGCGCCAAGAAGCGCGACCGCTTCAAAAACTTTGCGAAGAAGCTTGCGGTCTCCGTATCGCTGGGGGGCAGTGCGTCGAGTTTGGCGTTGGAGCCACAACCACCGATCCCCAGACCGAGCTCGGTGCCGCCCAGTCCGGCGCCAAGGGAGGGCGATGCGTTTGCGGATGTTGCCGCAGCGGAGGAGGGGAGAAGAAAGAGCTTGGATTTGCCCCCGGATGAGCACAAGTTCGATGGAGAGCGAGTTGCAGATGTGCCACCGGAAGACAGGCATATCGAGTTTGTGGAGCAGCCCAAGGTGGAGAAGAAGGTCTGCGTTCTTTGCTGCCATCTCCTTTGACTAACTGGTGTAGCCTTCAACGGAGAAGAAGGACAAGGACGACGATGCCTGGACAAAGTTGGGCAGACGACTGAGTCTGGGACTGGGTAGCAAAGGCTCGAAGGACAGAGAACGCAAAGGGCGATCGGCGGAGCGGGCCAGCAGGGATCTCAGCTATGCAGCGTTGAGGCCAAACAGTCTGTCCGCGGCCCCCCGCTCAGGCAGCCCTGACACGCGGCTTTCTCCAGGTCCGTCGGGCACAACCACACCGAAGTCCAGACCAACGACACCCTCAACTTCTCCGTTGACTGCGCAGACATTCACGGTGTCTCCTCCACCCGCAAAAGCTGATTCCCTGCCACCACGCAGCAAATCGCCGAAACCACCAAAGCCCACACCCGGCGAGGCGGCCTACCTCCGGCGGATCCTCGCCGACGTCGCAAGTGGTAGTGCCGGAGATGCTGCTGCCGCCTGGCTCAAACTCGGGGGCGGTCTACCCGGGGTCGAAGAATGTCTGCGGATGTTCACCGCAGTCGAAGTGCTCGACGGGGAGAACAGCGTTGGTTGTCGCCGATGCTGGAAGATTGCGAATGGGCAGTATGTTCCCAAAGTCCGCCCACCGGATGACTGTGGCCCGCCAGAGGAATCCGAGGACAGCGCGGACAATGCCGACTCGCCTGTGGTGACCACACCCATCGGCAGCCCGCACCCGCACCCGCACCGGCCGCCGCTCCCAATGTCAATATCCACACCCGCAATTCCGGTGTATTCACGCTCGACACCGGAATCGACGTCGTCGCTACCGCTGGTCACGCCGCCAAGTAGTTCCTCTGACTCGGCGGTCGCATTTGACGATTCGGACACCATGACCCCGCCGTCGTCCGCGAGCTCGGTGCATTCTCTGCCCTCGGCCGGGGAGGATGAGGAGCCCGCGACGCCGCCCGCGACGCCGGCGCACGTGACTATCATCCCGCCGACGCCGATTACGGGCGGCGCGTTCGACGTGACTGTGAGCGTCACGGACAGCGATGGGCAGCCGGCGTTGGACGCGATTGAGGAGGGTGTGGAGCCGAAACCGGCGGGGCTGCACCCGCCAAACCACCATAACCGCGGATTATCTGACGAGAGTTCGGATGGGAGCTCGGGCGATGAGAGCGACGTGTCTGTTATCTCTGCGAAGGAGGTTCCAGCCGATAAGACACCCCCTTCGCTGGCTCCGAAGCCGAAGAAGACGCCGAAGCCTGTGCTGATGCAGCCCGCGTACAAGCGGTACCTCATCGCGCACCCGCCGCCCGTGCTCGTGATCCACCTCAAGCGCTTCCAGCAGCTGTCAAAGCATAAAGCTTACATGTCGTTCTCCACTGGCTTCAAGAAGCTGGACGACTACGTCGCGTTTCCGGAGCGGCTCGACCTCGCGCCGTACCTCGCGCCGAAGAAGGAGGACTACGGCCTCCGGCGGGGGAAGGGGAAGGGCAAAGGTAAAGGGGAGGGGGAGGAGGGGTGTGTCTATCGGCTGTACGCCGTCGTCGTGCATATCGGGAATATGGTGCGTGGCTCTTGGCGGTTGTGTAATATTGGTTTATTTTTCCATCAGCTCGGTGGACACTACATCTCCTACGTCGCCCTACCCGCAGCGGGAGAAATCCCTCGGGCTGGCACCGGCGTCTCGCCCCCCACGACGCCGCGCTCGCCTGCTACCCCAGGTTCGCCGCCAGCTGCGGGCAAGGACGCGCGGCAGTGGGCGTACATCAGTGACACCGTCGTGCGGCTCACGACGCTCGAGGAGGTGCTCAAGGCGAAGGCGTATATCTGCATGTACGAGCGCGTGTAGGAGGCGGGCGCAGAGTAAGTTATTAGATACCTATCGAACTCGAGCGAGCTGTGTTTTTTTCTTGTGTAAAGCAATGTAATCATTGATGAAAGTTGTTTCAAGAACCATGGATTAGTCGGGGTGTCTGTACCATTGTACCAGGCGGATAGTGTTGCTGTTTCCATACAAAAAGTGGACTACCAGTTCTACTTCTTTTTCACTATTGAGAGCACAAAATGACCAAATTCCCTTTTAAACATGTATTGAACATGATATTTGGATACATGTTTCCGTAAACAAGAAATATGAGACATCTATTGCTTTCATAGATGACTAATCTTTATCCAGCTTTCTGTGAGAACAAAAAGAATGTCTTTTAGAAGGGATATAAAAGGTAAAAGAAGGCTGACCTTTTCACCTGGCTTTTAATATTTCTTCCTGTGTGATATGAAATATATATTTTATTCTTTTTATAAACAAGCTATTTATATTCAGATTTGTTTGTTATACAAAAAGAACATAGTGCTCTCCTTTCAAGAAAGGTCTTTTTTTCTATACACCTTTAGCAATAGATAAAACAGTAGAGCAGTAGATAAAAAAAAACATCTGTCAAGAATGGAAGAAAATTATACTTTCTGATTGGATGAAAGCAGTAAGGAATAGTGATGGTCAGGTTTGGTTTGGGTTTTCGGTTGAAACCCAAACTGAACCAGACCAAACGAAGGTTCGGCATTTGGGTTTGGGCAAAACCCTTTCCAAACAGGTCTTTTTTGCCCCAAAAAGGTTAGTAAGGTGTGCCTGGGGAAAGTGCTGAGTTAATGCTATACCTTGTTAGGGTTAAGGATGGATAGAGAGTAATAAATATCAGCAGTGAGTATAATATAATCATCGATTGCTGTTGACAACATTTGTTGCGTGATTTAATTATCAACATAGTGCTTGTAATTAATAGGACTGAGTTCTATTTCATAGGATTGAGTCCTATTCCATGGGATTGAGTCCTATCTGGCCAGTCCTACTACTCCTACTCTTTTCGTATATACTCCCACACATAGTCTATCATGTAGTAAGCCTGAAGGCAGCCAACATCAAATATCTCTAGGCAGTGATATAATGTATGTATTCATAATATATGAGATAGATGGATTAATATCTAATTATATTCTGTTAATAATATTTAGAATATATTTAATATTTATGACCAGCACCATTCCTCAAGTTGTTCAATATATTATGTTTTCTTATAACCTGATCTACATCAACAAAGGGGAAATATAATCATTTAAGCTGTAATAGCCTTTGCAATTCAACATAAAGATCACAATAAACTTTCTGTTGATTATCTCGCCAAATTAGGAAATATGAAATTTTGTTGAGTAGTAAGAAGATGCAATATAAAATATCATTTCCATAACAGGGCCAAAGTGTTTCCAAAGCTCAGAAATACTTAAACCTTGCTAGCATACCTAGGTAGTTGTTTTTTGAAATATATTGACTAGTTTTACTAACATTATAAGTAGATTCTTCTAGAATATGGGCACAAAAGATCAGTTGATAAGACAAAATTCAAAACTAGTCTAATGGAACTTATTACATTATGTAAACACTTATTGAATATCAATGGTAACCTACTGAATCACATGAGGAAAAGAATGGGCTGCAATGTTAAGCTATATGTACTATATCACAGTGATAGCAGTGTTGAATAGTGCCCCTGCATAACAGAGCTAAGTATACAGTAATATAGCAGGTTATATAGCAAAGGCAGATGATATCATAGTCAAATATAGCATAGACAGTGGCTATTATAAACCCACAGAAATTCATGAAAATAAATGTATTATTTCTTGCTATACTTAGATTCCTGTCAACTACTTGATGATTAGGAGGGATTCTCTGAGTCACAGAAATAAATGCCCTTTATGAGACTTGATGTCAAACCCTGGGTTCAAAAACCCTTTTTCTTCGCCTTATAAACCTTTTATTTTGGCCCTGGTTGATAAGATAAGACAAGGAGGAGAAGATGGACGATAAGATGGTGATTGGATCATCAGATGTCGATGCTGATGTTGATTGACAGCATGGAGTTGGACATGAGGCAAACAGCACGTAAAGGCATGGCTAAAGTATGACATCATTGCCTCTCGTATTAGGCATGATAAACACATGGTAGTAGTGTATATAAGTAGAGTAGATTTCGTCCTTGTACCCCAGTCTTCGAATTCCATCATCTTTACGATATCCTTTTCAAGGTGCTTCTTGCTTGCCTTCACTGGCCAACTGGCATCCTCTGAATTGGTGTTGTTTGTGACATAATTCGAAGACTACCCTCCTACCCGAGCCGTAGTGGTAATATATAGCCTAAAACCAGTAGGTGTAGCTAGGAAAACGCTTGCCTAGGAGGGTAGCTGTACCTAGGTAGCCTTTTACATGTCTTTATTAGAGCCAAATGTGACGATTTGTAACATGTGACATATATGTGACATATGTGACATATGTGACATTCTTGTTTAAAAAAAATATTATTATTCTTTATCTAGTATCCTATGGGTTGTGACAATGCACCTATCTGAGTAATGTTTTTAATGTGGAACCGTTTTTGATGGCCATCAGTACTTTTGATGGCTATATCATAGTACATCAATTTTGTCCTAATTAGGATTATTATTAATTCAGGCCATCCTGACTATAATCCGGGTCATCGGCCTTTAGAAAAGGAGTTAAAAGTATTATATATATATTATTATCAAATTATATGTATCCTATACCCATTTATCACATCATTGATGCTATTTAGTTATCTGCCTATTAGATAGAAAAGAGCTTGGAGAGCTAGGTGTAGATAGCCCTAGGTACAGCTACCCTCCCCGGCAACCATTTTCCTACCTGTACCTAGACCTGAAGGCTAAATCTTACAGCTATGGGTGCCTACCCTCGTACCTTCCTACCTCCTACCACCTACCCAAACCCCTCCCCTACCCCGTTACTATCGCCAAATTTCCCACGCCTTTTTCCCACGCCCTTTCCCCTTCTGCTCTAGGTCGTTACTCTAGGTCTTTTGCTCTAGGTTTTTCTTCTTGGCTAGGTACACTCGGAGACGACAATCCAAGGGACCCACTCGAGAGGACACGCGCTTCGTACTTGCAAGAGAGGCGTCTGGCCCAACCCAGGTGCTTTCGTAGAGTCATAGCTGCTACAAGGAGCGCAGGGGCAATCTTCGGAGAACGCTAGTTCGTCCAGCGCGGGGTGTGTCGTAGAAGGCCCCGGTGGATTCCTCTCACGCAACAGGTCTCTTGGACCCCCGACAACGGACTCTCCGGTCCATCCTCTGTGGCGCTTCTCCGCGCGCTTTGATCCCTGACCTCTCGTCAGGGGCTCCTTCTGAGGAGTCTTCAAGAAATTCTACACCCCGCTCTCTCTCCCCTATCCCCTCTTGTGACGGCTCCAATCATGTTTATCACATATCATGTCGTATGTCAACATCAATCTATGCCATATGCTTATTTTCCTTACTTTCCCACGTCTTCCCCACCGTATATAAGAACTGTCTGTAGTAGTTAGTTACTTTGGTCAATACAGAACTTACGCCAGTCACCTTTTGCGACCACCCCCGAATCTTCCGTGTGCCGAGAACCGCTTCCGACAGCGCCTCGTCACATATTTTTGACTGCTCGCTCTACTGCCCTTGCTCCGCCTGGCCAACTTGGTCTGATCAACCGACGCCGCCGCTCTGCTTGGACAACACCTCCAAAAACTACTACATCCCTCTACACCCATGTCAGGACAACCACCCCGCTACCCCCTTCGCTCCCACACTCGACGCACTGGCCGCTCCACGGCCCCACAAGCTGCTCGAGTCTCATCCGCGTCATCGGATGGAGCATCAAGCCGATCCCAGTCGGTGAGTCCCCCTCCACGGCCCTCGCGCCGTGTCACTCCCACTCTCCTCTACTCGAGGATTGTGTCTGTGTCGCCTCCGGGCTCGCCTTTGGGCGCTCCACCCTCGGGTGTTTCACCTTCGGGTGCCGAGCCTTCAGCTCGTCAGTTCTCGGAACTGCCATCTCTGCATAGAGATGTTGATTTTGGTCTTGCCGATGATTTGCATCTGGATGCAAATCAGGACGCATGGACCCCGGTTACGCGGAAGACCGCTCGCACCCATCGCGCACGGTCTACTTCCCCCCGTTGGTAGTGTTCGTAGTGAACATTCAATTAGTAATAAAATTGAGTCTACTACTACCACTACAACCGTCGCTCAGGCCGAGAATGACCTGAGTCTGGAGCAATGGATGAACATTGCTCGTCGCCATGAGTACTATGCCAAGCAGGCCAAGCAGGCTGCGTTACGACTGTCCCAAGGACCAGTCTCGTACCGCCCAGTGCCACTGCCTGACAACCCGGTTGCCCCTACTACGCCTCCGCGTGGTGATTCTCCTGTGGACTTGTTGTCCTTCAGCCCGGCTATCCCATCGGGTGAGGGGACATCCAAGGACAAGGGGAAGGGCATCGATCCCCGCAACTTCGGGAATATCCCCGAGTTGTATGGCATGGGCTCGGAGGAGCTTGAAGCTCAAGCCGACATGCTGGCAAACTTCGCTGAACTGAAGCGTCAGCAGGACGCTCCCGTGAAAACTGAGCGCCTTACCACGCCGCCAGACTTTTTTGCGGACATTGTTCCGATTGAAGTGCCAGCAGCAAAGCCCGCCGCGCGTCACCGCACGGCGCGGTTTGAACCTGTCTCAGCGCCGTCGGGAAGTAATCCACCCGACGCTGACATGTCCGGCCGGACACCGGCCTCTGAAAAGGACCAGAGGATCGACGAGCTCCAACGCGAGCTCACCGAATTGAGACAGTTGTCGTCTTCGCGCAAAAGCGCGCGCAAGAGCGACGCGGAGCGCAAGGCTCATGATAATTTGAATAACCTGCTTCGCAGCCAAAAGCCTGCGAAGCGGTCCGGCTCGCGGAGATCGTCCAAGACGCCTGGAAGTCTCCCTGTCGGGAGCTTTATCCACGACGCCATCATGGGACCGTCACGCACCTGTCAAGACCCCCCACCATCCGACCCATCCAACGGCTCATCGAGCTCTGATGAGGAGTCCTCTGGCTCCGAGTCGAGTTCGGAGGGCGACAGTGATGCGGATGGTGTGGCGCGTCGGCGCCGGAGGCGAAGCCCAGTTGGAGATCGCCCGTTGAGTCCGATGGAGCGTCTACGCGCGCGCAGGAAGAAGCGCTCACGCATGCTTCTGAAGCCGGTCCCGCCAAACCGCTACAATGGCGACGCGAACGCGGAATTATTCACGCGGTTCGCCATCGAATGCCGAATGTACTTAGAGATGGGCCGTGTACCTGGTAAACACCAGGTCACGATGATCGCGATGTACCTGGAAGGTCGCGAGAGACTTTTATAATCAGAAAGTACTTACCAGTCAACGTCGTTGGAAATTAAAGTACTTTTTCTCGGATTTATTCGAGTTTATCTTCCCGAAAGACTTCAGAATCAAGCAGCGACGGCTGCTAGCACGTACCTTCCAGGGCGACAAGCGCGTGTCAGCGCATGTCGCGATCTTCTCGCAGATCTACAACACCATCGGCATCCCGGACGACCAAGAGAAGGTCGTCAAACTCTGGCACAGTTTCCGCCCAGATATCCAGGCGGAAATGTACCGCAAGGAGCTCGACCCCGAGACTTCCACTTGGGATGAAGTCGTTGATGGCGCTGAACACGCCGAAACGTTGCTTGGCGTTGGTAGTGGCTCTGGCGAGCGAAGGAATGCTCAAGCGAGCTCCTCGCAGGCCCACCAACCCAGCAATAGCAGCTCCAACTCCAATCCGCGCGCTAACAGCGCAAATCGGAGCAGCTTCCGTGGACGTGGGCGTGGACGCGGGGGGCGGCATAACTCCTCCTCGCGATCCGAAACGTTCCGCGCGTCTGCGGCGACTGTGCCTACCAATAATGGCCAGCCACCCGAGAAGAAAATGTCGCTGGAGCGTCGAAATGAGCTCCTAGCGAAAGGGCTGTGCTTCAACTGCCTCGAAGCCGGCCATCTGGCCCGCAACTGCCCCAAGACTTCAACGATGAAGTCGAAAACCAGGGGTAAACCCCCGGGCTTCGGCGCCCACTCGGTCAAGTTTGCCGGCGGGTCGCGCAGCGCAGCTCTATATGAGAGCACCGAAGTCCTCGAAACACTACCTGTTGGTAGTGTCAGAATCGACAACTCGTTTGAGAGAGTCGAGGAGGGCGGGGTACCCACAGAGGAATTACAATTTTTCGACTCCTCTGCACCTCTTCCCCCAATCCGCAACCTCTTCGAAGGTGATTTGCTCGCAAACCACGCGACTTGGGTGTTGCAGTCTGCCCAGCCTTACCCGGGCGACGACACTCCCGCGTCGGACCGCTTCTTCGTTTACCGAACGACGGACACGACCTACTGCATCATCGACCATCAGTTGGATGAAGATGTCGAGATTGAGGAGGAATACCTCCAAAATCCAGACTTCCACCTCTGCATGTGGTATGCATGGCGCGTCTCCGAGCTGCGCAATTTGCCCATCGATGAGGCCTCTCTCGAAGATGAATACAGCGCCACCATTGGCGACGCGTTACTTGGCTGTGTCCGAGTTACGCTCGAGGAAGCCTTCTGGGACGAAGGTAGCGCAGTCCCGAAATGGGAGCGCTTCTCGATCGACTATTCGGGAACTGAGAAGATTTACATCTCAGATGTAAAGCACGGACTTACCCAAGGTCTGCCGGTGTCCCGCTTGTTTGAATCTAACTTCCACCTGGTACAGTGGTACCAGAGTTTCGTCCTCGACGAATACGAATTCCCCTCCGAACCTGACAGCGAACGCTCGTTAAACAACGATTCGCTGTTTGAGAATGACGCACCTGAGAGGGAGTCAAGCTCCGACTCAGAAATCGAGTCCGAGTTTGATGAATACGCGGACATGCCGCCGTTAATCGAGTCTATCTACTCGGACTCAGAGGATGAGCAGGACACACCGCGCCTGCCGCAACGAGCCGTTCCGGACTCCGGGGCGCTGAACCCGCATTTCGCGGAGCGCCTAGAGCTGTGGCGACAAGCCACCGCGTTTGGCTGTCGACTGCCACCTGCCGCCATTGCTCGGCGAGAGCATCGCCTTGGTGATGTTTTGGGCACCGCCGTTGCGCGGTTGCTGTCGTTCTTCGCGCCGTACCCGGGCGACGAACAGTCCGAGTGGTTTGAACTACAGTTCTTGGTGCCGCGCTTCCAAATTCAGCGAGCATCTGAAGAGCGTTATACCATATTCGATGCTTGCGGCCATCTAGAAACGGACTTACCAGTCGACTACCTGCGCAACCCGCAGTTCCAGCTCGCCGATTGGTACGCGCGACAGCGAGCCCACCAGCTGGGCCTTGACGGGCATGGCCTGGTCGGCACCCATGACATGCCAATTGAGAATTTACTTTGCGACGCGTTAAATCAGTACTTCGAAGACATCAGCAGAGAATTACCTGCTTTTGAGCTAGCCTGCGTCGAACGTCTCCCTCATGATGTAGTCGACCTAGACGGGCCGGACATGTACTACATATCTTTCCCCGGTGACGGCGAGAGCAGTGTTCTCTCGGAACGCGAGCTGATGAACCCAAACCTAGATTTGGTTAACTGGGTTCTGCGCCGGCAGGAAAAAGCGCGTCTGCTCGAGAGGGAGCGACGTGACGAGCTTGGGACTTACCCGGGTAGCCTGGCAACCCTATTCGAGGAAACGGAGGGCGCGTCGCTCTTCGTTGGTGGAGTCCAAGTCCCGCCAGGCAGCGTGAAAGGCATTTCACGAACTGCTTCGACGCCGCGAGTTCCCGAGCGTGTTGTCGCTCGCCCGCTCGTCATCTCGGTACTTCTGAATGGCGAACCCGTGCGTGCGCTCGTTGACTCCGGCTCGCTCGGCGACCTGATGTCCACGACGGTGGCGGACCAACTCCGCTTGCGACGAACCGAATTGACATCGCCGATTACACTGCAGTTAGCAGTGCAAGGTTCGCGCTCTAAAATAAACCACTCAGTCAGCGCCAACTTGAAGTACCAAGACATAAATTCGCCACGCACCTTTTACGTCGCCAACATAAGCGGCTACGATTTGATACTCGGAACCTCGTGGCTGTTCCAGCACAAGGTGAGCATCGGCTTCAATCCGTCTCGCGTTTGCGTGGGCAGCGCTGACCCACTACCCCTAGAAGGTGTAGCCACGGCGAAGATATTCGCCAACGCGACGGACATTCGGGCCGATGTACTACAGGCGGCGCGGGAAGAACTGCTCGACTACGCTCAGCCTATATGTAAAATTGCCTCTGAGACAGGCTTACCTCCATTGCGTGCAATAAATCACACGATTCCACTTATTGATGCGGACAAAGTCCTCCCGTGGCGACCTTCGCGCTGTCCAGAAGCGCTAAGACCCCAGTGGGATGAGAAACGAGCGGCGTACCTTAAGGCCGGCCGCTGGCAGGTTACCAACTCGGGCAACACTGCCCCGATGCTGCTCATCCCGAAGGCGAAGTCCAACCCGCCGAAACTGCGCGTTGTCGTTGACTTGAGAGCGCGGAATGCGAACACAAAGAAAATGACTTCACCTTTGCCCGATATGGATGGTATTTTGCGGCGCGTCTCGCGCTGCAAGTTCCGCTCGCTAATTGATGGCCAAGACGCGTACGAACAGATACGTGTTGTGCCCGAGCACGTCGAGCGAACTGCTGTGAGCACTCCTGATGGAAATATGGTCAGTCTCGTGCTGCAGCAGGGAGATTGCAACGCTCCCGCGACTTACCAGTCGTTAATGAATTACCTGTTCGGCGACTATATCGGTCGCTTCATGGACGTCTATCTTGACGACATCATCATTTACTCCAATACCCTGGAGGAACATATTAAGCACGTTAAAATGGTGATAGATGTGCTTAGACGGGAGTCACTTTACCTTAGCGCCAACAAGCTCCAGCTCTTGAAGCCGGAATTGAAGGTACTTGGTCGTATTGTCGACGACCAAGGCATCCGGATGGACCCGGATAAGGTGGATTCCGTCTTGAATTGGAAGACGCCGACGAACCGCGACTTGCTGCGCGGGTTCCTCGGCTCCGTTGGCTACCTCGCGGACGACCTCGCGCGAGTGCGAATCCCAATGGGCGTCTTGCACGGCTTGACGAGCGACGCTGTCCCGTTTCGATGGGACTACACACACCAACGCGCGTTTGAAGATATCAAACGCGCCGTTGGCTCTGGGCGCGACCACCGTCGGAAACCCCTCGAATATGGGCCCGACACGCCGCCCGTGTACCTCGTCACCGACGGCTGTAGCTCGGGAATCGCTGGCGTCGTTTGCCAAGGTGCCGACTGGCAAGATGCCAAGGTCGCGGCGTTCTTCTCTGCGAAGCTGAATTCTGCTCAGCAAAACTACCCAGTGCACGAAATTGAAATGCTCGCCGGTGTAGAGGCGATGCTTCGGCACCGAGACATCCTCCAAGGATGCCGCTTCACGTGGATAACCGACCACAAAGGTCTGATTCATCTCGTGAACCAGAAAAACCTGTCTGGGAGACAAGCACGATGGATTGAGAAGATATCCTCGTTTGACTTTGAAATAAAGTACATACCTGGGACCGAGAACGTCCTCGCTGATGCCCTCTCGCGCCTCTACTCGAACGAGGCGCCTGGGACGGTTCGAGCACCGTCAGAGTACACCTATCATGATGTAATTGAGGGTATGAGCATCGCGATTGAGCATGAAATTACCATGCCCGTGTTTGCTGGGCGCGAAGCGGAGGCTCTGTCAAGCGACAGAGTCACCCGGTCAATGACCAGGGCAGCGCGGGAGGCTGAGAAACGACCCGCCGACGCTGGCACCTCTGCCGGTAACCCCACTGCGGAGGGCGTGAGTTTGGGTCCCAAAACCCGTAAGTCCCCAAAGGAGGGCGGGGGTACACACCAGAAACGCGAAATTAAACGCGTCCCACCAGCTGTAGACGCGTCGTCGAGCCCCTCGTCGCCTGACATGGACGCGAAAGCCAAGCCCGGCTCACCGCCACCTGTCAATCAGTCAGCCGAATCGGGAAAATCACTCCCACAGTCATTTACTCACGACGTCCTCGACTCGGAGCTTGACACCGAGCTCTCGCGTATGGACGACTCCCTCTTGGAAGTTGTCAACTCCGGCTGGCACGGTCTCGACATCACGCAGCTCGTCGCTAATCAGTATGGCGACGATCCGTTCTTCAAGCAGATTCTGGCCACACCCAAGGCCTTCCGCAACTTCCAGCTTCATGAAGGCTTGATTTACCTCCAAGACGACGACCGCAGGCTATTGTGCATCCCTCGGCTGACGTATAAGGGCCGGAATCTCCGGGAGATTGTCATCTCGGAGGCTCATTCGGTCTTGGCGCACCTCGGAACGCGCAAGACTCTGGATTACCTGCGCGACCATGTCTGGTGGAAGGACATGGTTGACGACACTCGCGCCTACTGCGAGACTTGCATGACCTGCAAGCGAAGCAAGCCCAGCAACCAAAGGCCCTATGGTCTGCTGCACTCGCTGTCTCCGCCGACTCACCCTTGGGAATGCATCGGTATCGACTTTGTCGGGCCGTTGCCCGAGTCCTCAAACCGCGATGGACATTTCAACTCTATCACGGTCGTCATTGACCTCTTGACCGGGATGGTGCATTTGATTCCATCACGAATCAACTATACCGCGCGACAGATTGCGGAGCTCGCCTTCGAACACATCTACAAGCTGCATGGGCTGCCGCGATACATCGTCAGCGACCGTGACGTGCTTTTCACCAGCACCTTCTGGCGCCGGCTTCACGAGCTGATAGGGACCAAGCTCCGTATGTCCAGTGCCTACCATCCTGAGTCGGATGGCGGCACCGAGCGTGCTAACCGCACAGTTACACAAATGCTGCGTCAGTGTGTTGGTCCTAAACAGCGGGACTGGGTTGCGAAGCTTCCCGCAATCGAGTTCGCGATGAACTCTGCCCGCTCGGAGTCCACCGGCTACTCCCCGTTCTTCTTGAACACAGGCCGGATGCCCCGTTCCTTACTTTGGGACTCGGACCGGACCCGGGAATACCCCGGTATCGCCAAGTTCGCGCTTCAGCGCAGACTTGCAATCATGGCCGCGCATGACGCCATGATCGCCGCGCGTGTGAAGCAGACACGCAACGCCAATCGAAAGCGCCAAGAGGCGCCATTTGAAGCAGGTGACCTTGTGTACCTGTCGAGCAAGAATATCAAGTTCGAGAAGGGACTTGCTCGTAAGCTAATCCCCAAATTTATTGGGCCTTACCTGATTCTCCGAGACTTTGGCAACAGTTCATTCCAGATTGAACTGCCTAGCAACCTCAAGCAACGCGGAGTGCATGACGTCTTTCATGCCTCGTTACTCCGCATACATGTGCCAAACAACGATCGTCGCTTCCCGGGGCGACTGGAGAATCAACTGGGAGTCTCCGCCGAGGCCGAGACCGACGAATGGGCCGTGGAGTCCATTGTCGGCCACTACGGCCGCCGGTCGGAGGCCCTGTTTGAAGTGCTATGGAAATCCGGCGATCGGACATGGATGCCTTATCACCAGGCAGCCCGTCTAGCCGCCCTGTCGGCCTACCTGGACGCGCTGGGCGTTGGCAACATTAAAGATTTGCCATATGGTGCTGGCCGGCCGCCGGCCGATGACTTACAGATGTTTGCGGGCTCGACGCAGCTGAACGTTGAGTACTTAACAGGCAAGGATTCTGGGATGTTTTCTCCATCTCCTCAGCCTCTCGAGCATTGTGCCGCAAGCTATACCATGGCGGAAGCTCTTCTTGCCCTCATCGGCGACCCCAACAACGCCGAACAGTGCTATAAGCGCTGGAACAACGAGCACTACGCCATCCAGCGATTTGATCTCACCAACTTCATCGTCTACAACCACCGTGGTCCCAACCGCGAGCGCCGCGTTGTCTCGGCGCAGCAAGTGGCGACCTATATCGCATATAATCGCCTCCTGTACACCTCGGAGGCTCCTTATCCCAGCCCTCCGATCGGTTACCCGGAGTTTGTCACGGCGCTGACTCAGCGCGACCAGGCCGGCGAGGTTTGGGCCCACGCGGACCTGTCATCCGGCCGCGTTATGTACTCCGAGAACCCCGGAGAGCTCCCTAACGAGGGTAGCTGGCGCGTGAGTCGCAGTCTGACAGACTGTGTCTTGCTTGCTGACACACCACAGGTTACCCCTGATATCATCGAGCAACTCGTGCCCGATGGTATGCGCTTGGTGCCTGAAGAAGCTTACCAAGCTTTCCAGGACCAGCTTATTCGCAATGCAACTGCGCGAAAGCGCGCCGAGGAGAACCGGAAGGCCAAGAGATCCGCACCTTACCCGACCGGTAATGCCGCCCGAGAGTTGATAACTCTCCGGGCCGAACCGCGCGCGAAAGGAACGCGAAGACGCCGAGGCCGCGGCGCGTGCTGCTGCGGCTGCATCAGGCCCGCAGGCTCAGCCGCCTGGTGCTTCCGGCTCAAACTCCAGCTCGGATGGACCTGGAAGTGGTGGAGACTCTGTAATGGGTCCTGCTTGAGTCCGCCGCATGCGTCGGCCTGGAGGGCGTATGTGACGGCTCCAATCATGTTTATCACATATCATGTCGTATGTCAACATCAATCTATGCCATATGCTTATTTTCCTTACTTTCCCACGTCTTCCCCACCGTATATAAGAACTGTCTGTAGTAGTTAGTTACTTTGGTCAATACAGAACTTACGCCAGTCACCTTTTGCGACCACCCCCGAATCTTCCGTGTGCCGAGAACCGCTTCCGACAGCGCCTCGTCACACCTCTCCATTCAACCACTTTTACCTCGACTCTCTTCCTCCTTCCCCAATCTCCGCTCTGGCTACTCTTGCCATTGCTCCTACCCCCCGCAACTGTACCCCAACCCACACCTGCACCTGCACCCCAACCACCAACCAACATGTCTCGCGTCGTACTTGCGAACCCCCCTCCTCTCTTCTCTGGCGAGAAATCGCTTTGGGAAAATTTCTACGATTCCGTCACAACTTATATTGCGGCTTATGCTGATGCGCTCGATACGGATCATAAACGAATTTGGTTCTTGATCTCGTACCTTCGATCTGCAGATGCTTCCGCATGTACGGCAGCTGACTGGGTGCGCAATTGGAAAAAGCGAACCCTTAAGAATGGTGTGCTTGCGGCCACCTATACATTCGACGATCTCATCACGGAGCTGGAACTCTCATTCAAGGACACAAACATCGCACAGGCAGCGCATCTGAAGCTGACGACCACTCGTCAAAATAAGATGTCGCTGACCGACTTCTTCCAGTCATTCGAACTGCTGGCAGAACAGGCAGGCTATAGTCCCAATGCCAAGCCTTGTGCATATGATGCGTTCCTAATCCAGCTTCTTGAGGAGTTAGTCAATACGGAGATTACTGGTCCAATCTATGTGGGAGGCACTGCCCTGCCCAAGACCTATCTGGAATGGAAAGAGCGTCTGATGCAGATCGACGCGAACTTGTCTCGGAACAGGCTGCGTTTGGGCCGCCGTGGACAGACGTTTGGTTTCATACCTCAATTCCAACGTACTCCGCCCCCGCCGCCCCACGTGCCCCAGTACCACAAGCAGCCGCGCCTGCTAAAGATCCCGATGCCATGGATGTCGACCGCGCTTGACAGAAGTGGAAACCCTTGCGCTGCTTCAACTGTGGCAAAATTGGTCACATTAGTCGCAACTGCCCGGACCCCCCTCAGAAGAAACTCAGCGTTAGGGCCTTGATGGCTCAAGTTGATGAGGGTGACAAGTTCGATGGCACGTTAGCGCAGTTGATCCAGAAGTTGCGCGAGGCGGGTTTTTAAAGCGCTCCTCTCCCCTGGCCAAGGAGACGGAGCGATCCGAAACTGTTGATTCGAAATATGGACGTTATTCTCCTCTCAGTAAATTAAATGCGACTCCTGATATGCCTGCTATGGACTCTTTTTATGGTACCGACTCAAACTCGTTACGAAAGGACATACATGAATTCCTTTACAACTCTTGTCATATCCATGTGTTGCAAAATCAGAATCGTCTTCATAACTTAAAGGAACAAAAGCGTGCTGACAAAGATGAGCGGTGGACTGAGTTCCAAAAGGCCTGCGGAGAAAAAACCGCATCAACAAAGACTGAGAGAGGAAGT